GGGGAACACAAGCACGCTGTTCTGGAGGGAGGCTCGGTTACTACCAAAGCGGCATGTTACCCCCCTTTGTTCGTGCGCACTGTCGCCAGGGCTGTCGCCGAACATTGGTCCGGAGCTTCCAGGGCCAGGCAGTCTTCCTGGGCGGAGTTGGCGGAAGGAGTCTCCGGCGAGGCTGCGGAGGCCGGGGAAGCAATTGGCGGCGAAGGCGAGCCCGAAGGTTCGGACGAAAGCGACGACGAGCCCGAGACCCGACCACCCACTCAGAACAGAACGAGGGGAGATGTGTCCGGGAAGCCCGATCCTCAGCCCACTGAGGACGAGAAACGGTTAATATACAAGTTGCACTGCAACATGGGCCATCCCGACAACCGAAAATTTCTTCGGGTTCTTCGAGCTGGCGGCACCAAACAGCACTTGGTGAGATGGGTGCGTCAGCATTTTGTTTGTTCGGAATGTGCGGAACGATCGCAGTCGGGGGCCCATCGTCGGGTTGCTCTGCCCAGGACCTTTCGTTTTAATCACATCGTGGGGGTTGATCTCTTCTACCTCGACTTTCAAGGTACGACGCATCCCTATCTCAACATCGTCGACCACGGGTCGAACCTGCAGGTCGTCACCCGGGTCGAGGCCGCGACGTCGGCCGCTGTCTGGTCCGAGTTTCTGAGGTCCTGGGTCCGACCGTTGGGTGCGCCTCATCTGATCATCTCGGATGGGGGCTCGGAGTTTGGAGCTCGGTTCGCCCGAGGCTTGGAACAGTGGGGAGTTTGTCATCATGTCTGCGACGCGGACAGTCCCTGGCAGAACGGACGAGTGGAGAGACACGGTGGCTGGGTCAAGGACCGAGTCCGTATTGAGCTAGAGTCCGGGACGTCCCTTCCCTCATCACTCCAGGAGCTGGACGATCTGGTGTTTGAGTTGGTGGCGCATAAGAACCGATTTTGGCATCGAGGTGGCTTTTCACCTCTCCAGTTGGTTTTTGGAGAAACCCGCGTCTTCCGCATGAGCTCTTGTCCGACGATCGACGGGCTTTGCCTGGGTGGCAGGATGTCGTGAGCCCCTCCTCAGAGCAGGACGAGGCGGGAGCCGAGTTTGCCAGGGCCCACGCTATCCGAGCGGCGGCCCGTAGGCTTGCCATGGAAGCCACGGCCCGAGACAAGCTGTCCCGAGCAGCCCGGGCGAGGACCCCTGGGACCAAGAGATTTACCCCCGGCCAGTGGGTCTTCGTCTGGAGGCATTTCACCAGAATATCGTCCAGGGCCGACGCCCTGGGGCGCCGTCGTGCCGGCTGGACGGGTCCCGGGGTCGTGGTGCTTGCCGAGGGCGGCACGGTGTGGGTTGCGGTCCGGGCCCGTCTCTGGAAATGTTCAGCCGAGCAAGTCAGGCTTGCTAGCCCTGAGGAAGAGTACGGCCTTCAATTGGCCGAAGACCCTAGATGGCAGGAGCTGCTCCGTTCGGCTCAGGCGAGGCGGGTGACCGCTGTGGACGTTCAGCGCGAGGGCCCCCCTCCCGAGAGTGCCTGGGACGAGGCGGCACAGGCCGAGCTCGACTCAGAACCAAGGGTTCCCGGAGCTGGGCCAGTGCCAGCCGAGGAACGAGGACCGGAGAATCGACCCTCTCCCCCGTCAGTGGGCGGGACTCTTGGGCTTCCTCGGAGGCCCCCCAGGGGGTCTCTCTCTCGTGCCGGATCGGTTGTAGCTCAACCAGGCTCGGACAGGACCGGGCTACCCTCTATTTCCGAGCTGGCTCCTTCAGACAGAGGAGAGTCGGCGACGCCGTCTCTCAGTCGGCAGTTGTCTCGAGGAGTTAGCTCAGGATCCGCCGAGGTCGAGCCAGGGGATCAAGAGAGTCCAGAACTCCTCCCTCCTCCGTCCTCTCCTCGTCCTGTTTCCTTACATGCTCCTGCTCCTACTCCTTTGCCTGCGTCTCCCAGTTCTCTTTCCCCTGTCACCCCGTCTTCACCAGAGGGGGCGAGACCTAAGACGAGGGGGCGCCTCACCCAGCCTGAGGACGTCCCAGCTTGCATTCGAGCTGCGAGGGCCGGGAGCGCCCCTCCTGAGATAAAGAGAGCCAGGACCGAGCCCTCCTCGGCCCCCTACCCTCCTTACCCCGTCGGTGGAATTGCCTCCTCCTCCTCCGGTGTTGGGGGCCCTGGACCTGGACCGGAGACTCGGGGGCCTGTCAGGACCGGCGACGAGCCGAAGCAGTCTGTCCAGGAGCGTGTTCAGGCCATCGAAGCCCGAGCCAGGTCACGGTCGCCAAATCGCAACAGAGGAGCCGAGGGAACAGTCGAGGCAGAGGCCACCAGCGAGTTTTTCGTGGTCCCGGGGCCGATTGACGGGCTCTCCGTCGTCCCTGGGAACGTCGAAGGGTTTGTCGGGGCCGTGGGCGCAAGCTTTCAGGACGGGGGCACCTTTGCGGCTAGCCGCGGGGGAGAAGTGACCCTCAAGAGACTCACCCCTCAGGAGCGTCAGAAGTTTCAGGCTTCAGACGACAAAGAATGGAAGGCCATGCTGCAATCCGGGGGTGTCCGAGTCATCCCTCCGAATCAGGCGGCGAAGATCCGGCAACGTTGTCCGGACAGGATCATATCCAGCCGAATGGTGCGCCGATGGAAGCCAGTTGAGGGGACTTTCGTGGAACCCGAAGCGAAGTCCAGGTGGTGCGTGCACGGTCATAAGGATCCCGACTCTGGCTCCCTCGCCGTATATGCGCCCACTCCCCAGACCTCGTCTATTATGATGTTCATTCAGGTACTGGTCAATTTCAGGATGCTCGGGGACATCGCGGATGTCAAGAACGCTTTCACCCAGTCAGATCCGATGACGCGGTCCCAGGGCCAAATATATGTTGAACCTTGCGAGGGTATCGACGTTGGGCCTGGATCCCTTATCCTATTGCTGGTGAACGTTTACGGGCTGGACGATGCTCCAGTAGCGTGGCGTCGCACCGTGGTTGGCCATCTGGAAAAGCATGGGTTCGAAAGAAGTTTGCTGGAGCCCTGCTGGTGGCTGAAGTATCGAGCAGATGGGGCCATCCAGAACATGATGTTGCTGGAAGTCGACGATTTCTTCATCGGGAATGCGGATGCGGATGCCCGAGCGTGGATTCGCGGTATCCTAGAGGACCGCTTCCGTTTCGGGAAGTATCGAGACTGTCATGCCGGCTCAGTGGATTTTGCGGGTAGGCGTGTTTCCTTCTTTCCCGGCAAGGCCGTTGTCGACCAGGAAAAGTACATCCTGGAAGAAATCCGTCCTCTGACCCTGGCCCGGGGCCGCTTGTCTGTCAAGAATTCCCCTCTCGAGCCGTCCGAGTTTAAAGCTTTGCGTTCTCTGGTCTACAAGTTTAATTGGGTCGGCCGAGAGTCACGGCCAGAAGCGGCCAGAGTAGCAAGTATTTTGGCCAGTCGTTTGCGAGCTCCGACAGTGTCGGACGTGTCTTGTGCCAACAAGTTGGTGAAGCACCTGGGGGCGACAGCCTCTCGAGGATTGACGATCTGGCAGCTAGACCCTGAGCGTATGTCTTTCATATCGTTTTCCGATGCCGGCGGTGTTGGTTCGGTAGAGTCTCTCCAGGATGACAATGGCCTCCCAGCCGACCCCACCCAGGGAGCCTGGATGGTGTTGGCCGCCGACAAGTCTGTTCTCGATAATCAGGTGGTAAGAGCGTCCGTGCTCGGTTGGCGTAGCATTAAGCTACGGCGTAAGGTGCCTTCGACGCTAGCCGGGGAGACTCAAGCTCTCTCGGCCGCTGTGGCGGAAGTCGAGTTTCTTCAAGTGTTGTACCGTGATGTTGTGTTCAAGGATGTTGATCTGCCTGATTGTGTGCGGGCCTCAGGGCCCTTCACTACGGTCTTAAGACGCGATTGTAGCTTGGGTTCCCGGGAACAACAGGTCCACGTGGTGGACGCCAAGTCAATCTATGATACCTTCCAGAAGGAAGGCAACGCTTCGGCCCGTGATAGGCGTACTGCTCTAGACCTCGCCATCATTTGCGAGTCCTTGGAGCGAGCCAGAGGTAAGATACGGTGGATACCCCATGGCCGTATGCCTGTGGACGCTTTGACCAAGGACGACGTGACTAAGTGTAATGCCGCGCTGTTTGATTTGATGACCAACGGCAAGCTCAGTCTGGTGGGCGAGGCCCAAGAGGTCGGCCGCCGGAAGGACATGCCCGAGCGCAAAAACCGCTCTCAGGCAGCCTCCAGAAGAATGCTGTCAGAGCCCGCCTGGATAACATGGCTCGACTACCTGGACCAGAGGGCTCCTCCTGGCCTGGTTGGTGGTGGTGGTGTCCTCCCGTCCTCCTCCTCTCTCCCTCCGCCTTTATCATCCTCCGAATCTGTTTTCCAATAATCTGCTCTCTAGTTCTGCCTCTCTCTCTCTCTCTCTCTCTCTCTCTCTCTATCTTTCTGCTGCTGCGCAAGTTCGACATTTGCAGGTCGTTTTGACACTGCCAGGCAGTGGCCACGGACCGGCGAATTGAGTTTTGGGACAGCTAAACCTAGAGAAAGTTGGACCCATGTTCCAGGGGTCCATAATCTCACGTATAGGTTTAGCTTTTGGTGTTTCACTCTGGGGACCGATGGACAGAGATCCATCTTGTACGCGTCCGTGCCACATGTGGCTCAAGGGAAAACATTCTGTCCCCTCTCCTGCTGCCACACTCCGGAGGAGTGCCTCCCGCCTTCCCTTGGTCCCTGCCTGTGCCTCGCTCCGCTTCGCTTCGGCCGCAGCTCGGATCCGAGACGCCGCAGATCAAAGAGTGCGCCGCCCAGGACAGGGCTCGCTTCGGTTGCTCCCATTCGATCCGTTTCGACTCCGATGGCTTCCGAGTCCGATTCGATTCCCCTTGAGATTCCGATCTGGGCTCCGATGTCTCACTGGAGGCATACTAGCCTGCCGATGTCCGCCGATTCGACTCCTCCCGACTCAGCTGCCGATCTCCGCCGATCCGATTCCTTTCGATCGCCGATCCGACTCTTCAATGCGATTCTGGGCCCT